GGTCATCAGATAACATAGACTGAGGTGCTAGTAGATAGAAGGTTTACATGTTCCATGGACAAGGTGCTTGTTGCACGGCACACTGCGCTTGGTTGGGTATGTTGTGAGTTAAAGGTATATAATGTTACCCGATGTATAGAAACCCTATGGTCTATACCCAACACTTGTAAAGAGAATTCAGCTCACATGCTTTGTAAAACCAGCAAGTAGTCAATGGGCTTTAAAACTAGGATTAAATCTCCAAGACATAATACACTTCCTCATTTTTTAGCTCCAAGCCCACATCATTTATACACAGGATATGAAATGTTTATAGTTATATGGTTGGCTTAGTAAAATGAACGTACATGCATTTCACAGTTTTTACACGACTTACTTAGTACTCACAGAGAACAATGGCTGTGCTATGTTAACTATACTGAAATATGTTCACTTTTTATCTATTTTTGTGTAACCAAATCCTGTCTATTTTTGTTTCTTGTGGTCTTCTCCAGATTAACTTCAGGAAATTTACTTCATTTCTCTCTATGTTCATTTAAAAATAGGACAGAATTCAATAAAATTCCATATATTATTACACTTTAACATCATAATGCATAAAATTCTATGCATATACTGCACACAAGTAGTACAGGTGTATATCTACATAGGTTCTCTATAATATGGTTGTACAGAACTGTTGAACCAAACATGACCCTTGTCTGCACAAATCTGCATGCAGGTGTACAATATATGTCTGATTGATATATACATAAGTAATACATTAATGTTCTAAATTGTTATAACAGTTGTTATTAAATCAAACTTTCTCCAAATTCATTTAGCTATGATATTTGACAGGAGATGTCATACATGATTCATGGTTCATTAAAACACAACAATTATGCAAGAGTGAAAAAAAAAAACACTACCATTCCACAGCTAGGTGCTGCTGATATACAACTGTTTTTACGCTACTAGAAAGCCTTGATCAATCTTTTAAATGCATTAGGTTTGACAGGGTCAAATCAAATTTAATAAAATAATCTTACTCTCAAACATGTTAGTTGTTGATCTCCGGATAATCACAATGACTGTTTGATCAATGACCTTGAATGTAACTAAATGGCCAGAGATTGATCAATTTTAAACTGGGAACATATTGGTCACCATTAGACTTAAAACACTATATCAACTTTATAAGGGTATCTAAGAGACTTTCAACGGGTCAGGGTTGATGAATGTATTTATAGAATGCCATAAATTTCATATCTTAATTATATATATATCATAACATGTAACAACAGTGTATAAATTTTGGTTTTAAAATCACATATTAAGTTACACATCATGAGTTACCTAAATAGGTAAAAAAAATAAAAGTGCATAAACAAGTATATCTACAATAAATATACATGTTCCTGTCTTATCACACACACAGGATGATCTGTAACTCATGTGACAAGCACATGCTTCGTAGTAATGCTGTGTTCACGGGTATTTATAGATCTGATGAGAACAAGAACGGAAAACACAAATGGCCTTTAAGTCTTCTCTGTGCCAAATGAAATTAAATTGGTTATGGACGGATGAGGATGTTTTCTTATGACTAATAATGCCAGATTTCACAAGAAAAAATAGCATAAACTATCTATCTATAAAGAAATTGGCAGGAAATGCATTTTGTTAACAGTTGCTCTAGAAAGAGCTCACAATCTCTGAAGATTTAACCTTCTTGAAAAGAGAGAGTTTTATACTACTACCTCAAAGGGAGACGACTCTGAATGATTCTCTTTCCAATTATCAACAGAGGTCGTAATTTGATTACACATCACTTTAATTTCAATTACATTTATTTTCTACCTTGCATCTGATTTGGAATCTTTTTTAATGCTCCTCACCCCCTCCTCACTACTTCCCTGCTCAATTAGGTCACACACTAGCTAGCTGTTGAATACCTTCAGGAGAAGAGCAAATTCTCCAATCCATGGTGGTGGAGAAAAACTACCAGACAATATAGGCCCTAGACATACTGGAGTGCCCTGGGCATAGTCTTCCTGTATACTTCTAATTAGCAGTCGCCATCTGGCAATAACTTTCTCATGTAGCATCAATACACAATTCTCAATCAAATCAAATGACCAGTTAAAATCTTTATAAATCACCAACATCCTAATTGATCATACCAAATAAAAAAGCATCAGATAAAACAGTTTCAGCATACAACAGGAATTTGTTACTGTTGCAACTTTTAAATTCCAGGTTTTTTACCAAAAATTAAAGATATTCTTCTGCAATTTCAGGCAATAGGACACCACTTAGATAAAAAAAACTGTTCTCACTCCATAGAGATTTATTTACCAGTTTGTCTGGATTCCAAGGAGATATAGGTACTTCATACAATATTAATCATGATTTAACACTGTTGTTCTTTAGGTATTTCATACAGTATTAATCATGATTTAACACTGTTGTTCTTTAGGTATTTCATACAATATTAATCATGATTTAACACTGTTGTTCTTTAGGTATTTCATACAATATTAATCATGATTTAACACCATTGTTCTTTAGGTATTTCATACAATATTAATCATGATGTAACACTGTTGTTCTTTAGGTATTTCATACAATATTAATCATGATTTAACACTGTTGTTCTTTAGGTATTTCATACAATATTAATCATGATTTAACTGTTGTTCTTTAGGTATTTCATACAGTATTAATCATGATTTAACACTGTTGTTCTTTAGGTATTTCATACAATATTAATCATGATGTAACTGTTGTTCTTTAGGTATTTCATACAATATTAATCATGATTTAACACCATTGTTCTTTAGGTATTTCATACAATATTAATCATGATTTAACACCATTGTTCTTTAGGTATTTCATACAATATTAATCATGATTTAACACTGTTGTTCTTTAGGTATTTCATACAATATTAATCATGATTTAACACTGTTGTTCTTTAGGTATTTCATACAGTATTAATCATGATGTAACTGTTGTTCTTTAGGTATTTCATACAATATTAATCATGATTTAACACTGTCATTCTTTAGGTATTTCATACAATATTAATCATGATTTAACACTGTTGTTCTTTAGGTATTTCATACAATATTCAGCATTAAATGTCAATTATTCATGAGACGAAACAAAAAGAAACAATAAACACTTGATATCAAACAAAGATATATAAGGAAAATTTTACCAATAACAATTGGGCCATCATCTCTCTCATAACTTCCGCATATTTAACAAAGGAAAACACAGTACAGATATTTATAATGTACTTGAAAGTAAATTGAGAGAATATATATTTCAGTTCTTTAATAACTGTATCTTACTGCTTTTAAATCAGAAAGGTTTCCCACATGTACATGTAGGTATGTGTTCATCATGCAGTAAATGTCTATTGCATGTTTCTTAAACTGAATCACTTTATTCTAAAAATAGAATACTTCTAGATGACGACGAATTGTCTCATTCATAAGGAAATTAATGTCCGAATTGTGTCCAAGACGCACATGAAAACACTTTGTGGTGCACATCATATTCAATAAGAATAACTTATTAGATATTTCTGAATGAAACATCACTGCTGATATAGAGTAGTCATTCACTGAATCATCCATAATATTAGACTTCAATGAATAACAACTCTCAGTTTGTAAACTTCAATTCACATTTAATTATCTATGAAAATAAATCTTAATTAGACAAAGACATTTATAACATCTGTATTTACAGTAAATACTATATAAACACTGAAAATGAGATTGGCCTGTTAACTAAACTAACTAAACTAAACCAGGAAACTCCTAATCCATTTAATTTCAGTCAAGAATGGATTACTGAGAGTCGACTGTATAGAATTCTTACAGAAGACCATACATACTATTTACTATTATTTCTGCTCTCAGATGCTGCTAACTGTGAAAGAGGCATATTAAGTTTTTTTTCTAAACTTTCATCTATTAACATAGATTAAAGACAAACGGGGATTCTGATCACCAAATGAAATAGTATAAAAATTCCAACCTTGTGTAACTAGTTTGCTGTTTCTTCAATGTTTCTTTAAATGAAATTGGTAACTAAGTCCAATTACTGTTTCATGAATCGTTATTAACAATCTTTAAACATGCAAAAAGTAGTTCTTCAAACCTTTTAATACTGAGTCAAGAATAAACTGGCATGTCTCTTTTTTTATCCTTGCTTTAATAGTTGTATCCTTTGAACTTCTATCTATGTCCCTTTATAATAGGTGTCAACTGGTACTTACATCCCTTTATCAAAGATAAGTGAACGTTTTTTTACTAACAATAAATTAATTAGTAGTTATGTCCCTTTGTTAAAGACACATGAATCCTTATCTATCTCACTTCATCAAAATGTATGAAGTGGTGAGTATGCCCCTTTATTGTAGGTAAGATTTTGAAACTGTTGAATAAGCAATACTTATAGATAGCTAATTACATGACAAGACAAAGTCACGAAAGCATCCAACAGAAGGCCTATAATACATAATATCTGTTGATAGCTCTCTTCCTGGCTAAGTTGAATTTAAAGAACAGCATACCTGGAAGTGTTTCTGATGTGAAAATATTATTACTAACTTATAACTGCAACAATTGTTTTAGCAATAATAAATTTGTCCAGAAATATGTTGATCTAATGATGGTTATGGTATGTAAGAATATCTCTTTTATTCTTGTCAATTTCTTTTCCATCCTTATAAGTTATAAACACATGGATGTGACAGAACCTGGTCAGATCAAGTATTGCGTGACACAGGAAATATATATGTCAGGTGTACCAGTATTCTTTTTCACACTGAAAAGTATCATCAAGATGAAATTTGTAATAAAGATATCAGTTTGAGGAATAGACGTATTCACAAAATTTGAGATGACGGAAGTAGAGTTCTACTGTATCATAAATTGTTGGCCAATTTGTTACCAACACAATGGTTGTACTGCAGTAGGAGTAAGATGGTTTGTACTTACGCCGTGTGACACGAAGTAGTTCCCTAGCAGAAAAGACCCCTGTAGCCATGATGCTGTCATTTCCAGAAACCCCTGAGTGAATGTTTCCAGGCACTGAAACAGAAAGGAGTTCACATAAAGGTTACATTTAGCTATGGGATGGTTCTATATATCACATTTGCCTGACATGCTGGTAAATGTTTTAATTCATAACTCTGACAAGAAAATGTGAAGAAAAATCAAGTGCTAGATGTTACTATCTCATCTAGTTTTGAAATATGGTGCCAAGCAGGAAAGATGTAGCAGATGTGACGGACTAAATATTATAGATGTCCTTGTGAGTAACACATCCATACCCTACAGTACAGAAATAGGCATACACACCATCAATGATCCATGCTGTTGTATAGGAAGGGACATGGAGAAACACATCCCTACCCTACAGTACAGAAATAGGCCTACACACCATCAAGGATCCATGCTATTGAATAGGGACATGGAGAAACACATCCCTACCCTACAGTACAGAAATAGGCATACACACCATCAATGATCCATGCTATTGAATAGGGACATGGAGAAACACATCTCTACCCTACAGTACAGAAATAGGCCTACACACCATCAATGATCCATGAAGTTGCCTTGGGTATGGAGTAATACCTACTCCAATGTCAACAGTTGGGATCTCTCTATCTCCTACCCGCTACCTTTTATCAATAGAATTAATCTAGGAACTTTTTATTTTAATGACCTTAGTAACAGTTGCTACGATGTTTTACCCCTTATAAAACAAATAAACATCCTCAGTGATCCATGCACTGGAGGCTAAATATAGCCTTCACCATACATGTTTCCTCTGCAAATGTGTGTGAAAGATTGCAGTAATTATTTTTGTAATTTTCACTGGTTTCTAAAAGCTTACGGGATCAAACAAAATTTTAATGTTTTTCTATCATAATGAACACCACAGGATGACTATCAACCATTAAACTTACATATTCTTGTGTACAAGTATCTTATTTAGGACAATGTACATTATACATGGTGCAACAATAATAAAATTTAACTAGCTTTGGTGAAGTATGATGCATATATGTGTATGAATACTTAAAGCTGTTAATCATTTACATTCAATTTCAAAACCATAAACACAGATAACAAAAGAAGCAGTATTCTGGACAAATTTTGTGAAAATCATAAATCTTGAAAGGGGCATAACTCCTATATGAGCACAACTCCCAATGTTATTGATTAGGCAAAAGACTTCAACCTCTATGCATTTAAAAAGTATCTTAGACACACTGCATGCAATCCTTAAAACAGAGTCTGTTTAATGTCAGCTTTTTATGCAGACAAATATTATTCTATACGTGGATGTTTTTCATCCTTATTATTTGTAAATATACCTAAAGATAAACTTTGTTTATTTACAACAATTACAAAACAAGCAATCACCTAACATTAATCACTCTTGTTTGGCAGGTGAGAGGAAACCAGAGAACTGTGGAGAAAACTCACATGTTCATGGTCAAGCAGGTATCTACTTTTTAATGTCTGCTCACAGAATCAAAACCGGACTTTTAGGTGATCATGAGAAGGCAAGTGTGTCACCATTGTTCTATCTGACCAAATTATATTGTTTAACATATTGATGGCAAAATTTTATTGAATTAGTCTCTGTATTGTGGAAGTTTTAGTATATAGCTTACTTTCCATTGTAATGCCACTGAAAATCAACTATGGGCAATATACTAGTAAACATGGTATTGCTCATTCTAAAGAACTGAACCAATCACTGACTGGCCGACTATGGAGATTATAATAGGCTGGGGATGTTCAAATGGGCTGGACATCTGGTGAATGTCTAACCATGGGCATGGTACTGGAGATGGTTAGGACTATACCTAGCCTTACAAACAGTAGCTTTACAGACTAATTAACACTTATCCATACATGTGAACCACCCTCTCCCATTAATTAGTCTGTAATTAGGTTAAATATAAACAGAAAACTCCCTTGACTGGAGAACTCGAACTGACCTCTAGCCAGTCTACAATGACCGGTCAGCCAGAGTGACCATCATAAGCCAGACATGACTTGCATCTACACAGGACATAACTGATGATGTTTTCAGGCTAATAGGGAATGGCACTGGGTAAAGCCTGGACAGGGTCAATGGCCAGTTTAGCCTTGTCAACATGAATAGTTCAACAGTGGTCAGTTCACTGGTCAAGCTACTACCATGGCCAGCACAATGTTCAGTAAATACCTCATGTATATATATTTTAACAACCACCATTCAGAACTGTCCTTCTGCTGTACTACTTTGTTAATAAACATGTTTAACTTTTCAGACACTCATAAATTCTGAACCATTTTAAACTAGAAAAGAACTATAAAAGATCAATTATTGCATTTAAATGATGAGAAGATTAACACAGTGCCATGAGATTCCATGTATTGCCAGCAGTGATAACACATCATTGTCCTGGACAAATAGGGGCATGTGCTTACGGTCCAGCTTTACAGCAGTGCCCTGGACAGACAGGGGTGATGGTCCTACCCTGAACAGATTAGGGTATGTGCTTACGGTCCAGCTTTACAGCAGTGCCCTGGAGAGACAGGGGTGATGGTCCTGCCCTGAACAGATTAGAGTATGTGAAGATGATCCAGTATAACTGTAGTGCCCTAAACATGTTGGAATGTGCAGTGTATCCATCTGTCAAACAGATCCAGTGATATGGCCAGTTTTATCAATAAACAATTCATTAGCAGTGCTCCTGATTGAGGGGATACCTTTTCACCTGAGATAGGTAGGATATATCACTACTCAACACCAATTGGTGGTAACTCCCAAGCACTACCAACTTCTTCAAATGGATACTACTACCAATATGAAGAAAAAACTAAACCTGTGGATCCCTTAGTCATACAGTTATGCTGGATCCCTCTGATAAAACTAAACCTAGGGATCCCTCAAACAGTTATTAAGGATCCCTCTGATAAAACTAAACCTGGGGATCCCTCAAACAGTTATTAAGGATCCCTCTGATAAAACTAAACCTGGGGATCCCTCAAACAGTTATACTGGATCTCTCTGATAAAACTAAACCTGGGGATCCCTCAAACAGTTAATAAGGATCTCTCTAATAAAACTAAACCTGGGGATCCCTCAAACAGTTATTAAGGATCCCTCTGATAAAACTAAACCTGGGGATCCTTCAAACAGTTATACTGGATCCCTTTGATAAAACTAAACCATGGGATCCCTCAAACAGTTATTAAGGATCCCTCTGATAAAACTAAACCTGGGGATCCCTCAAACAGTTATTAAGGATCCCTCTGATAAAACTAAACCTGGGGATCCCTCAAACAGTTATGCTGGATCTCTCTGATAAAACTAAACCTGGGGATCCCTCAAACAGTTATTAAGGATCTCTCTGATAAAACTAAACCTGGGGATCCCTCAAACAGTTATGCTGGATCTCTCTGATAAAACTAAACCTGGGGATCCCTCAAACAGTTATTAAGGATCCCTCTGATAAAACTAAACCTGGGGATCCCTCAAACAGTTATTAAGGATCCCTCTGATAAAACTAAACCTGGGGATCCCTCAAACAGTTATTAAGGATCCCTCTGATAAAACTAAACCTGGGGATCCCTCAAACAGTAATTAAGGATCCCTCTGATAAAACTAAACCTGGGGATCCCTCAAACAGTTATTAAGGATCCCTCTGATAAAACTAAACCTGGGGATCCCTCAAACAGTTATACTGGATCCCTCTGATAAAACTAAACCTGGGGATCCCTCAAACAGTTATTAAGGATCCCTCTGATAAAACTAAACCTGGGGATCCCTCAAACAGTTATACTGGATCCCTCTGATAAAACTAAACCTGGGGATCCCTCAAACAGTTATTACGGATCCCTCTGATAAAACTAAACCTGGGGATCCCTCAAACAGTTATTAAGGATCCCTCTGATAAAACTAAACCTGGGGATCCCTCAAACAGTTATTGAGGATCCCTCTGATAAAACTAAACCTGGGGATCCCTCAAACAGTTATTGAGGATCCCTCTGATAAAACTAAACCTGGGGATCCCTCAATCTGATTTTGGATCTAACAACGTTTTACTAATGTATATCTCCATCAAACATTTTAACACTGAATTCATCTCACCAACACTAAAGTCAAGGATTCACACTCTTACAATGAATCCCTCAAACAACAATACATCATTATATAATTGGATTCATCTTGCAGATCCCTTAAAAACACTGACGTTAACACAAAACACTGACGTTAACACAAAACACTGACGTTAACACAAAACACTGACGTTAACACAAAACACTGACGTTAACACAAAACACTGACGTTAACACAAAACACTGACGTTAACATTTCTAAAAGTCTAGATCCCAGTAATTCACTAGCCCCTATAGAAATTTCTTGGACTGATGTATGTGTCATACCATATTCCATTTGACCATATTGAATAAACTCGACAATGAATGTACAACCGCATAGAGGACAAATCACTTACCAAATTGATCCCAATACACAGGAACAATTAAGACTGTCTACAACATGTGATACTTCAAGGCGAAAAAAAGTATCTCCTATATTGGACTCAAGTCTCAAAATGGGTATAGTACAAGTAGTTTTTAGACACACAGAAAACCCCACCTTGATCCCACTAAATATTGGAGGGGGAGGGGGGGGTGGGGAGTGGGGGGTGGGGGGGAACCAGGAGGGTTGCTTGATTACAGCTGATATAGATAGAAGACAGTACAACATTTTGTTCTGAAATATCTAAATAGTACCAGATTTTGGACAGCATTCAACTGAACCATTATCAAATATCAATCTTGCTATTCTCAGAATGACCTTGGCCTTATTAATCTATATTTGCCTTCAACAAAATTGATTTAAATTGATATAAAAGCACTTGAAAACATTTCATGACCGCAACATACAGTGATATATCATAACCTCTGATATCTGGTATTACTCTTTACCTTAAACAGTCAGCAGAAAAATGTTTATTGATGAAAATGATACTGAAACGAGTAAGATATGATCACAAAACATTCTATTATCACAAAGA